CTTTCTTTCTTTCTTTCTTTCTTTCTTCTTTCTTTCTTTCCTTTTTCTTTCTTTCTTTCTTCTCTCTCTCTCTCTTTCTTTCTTCCTTTCTTTCTTTTTCTCTGAGATATTGTTGCCCAGGCTGGAGTGCACTGGCATGATCTCGGCTCACTGCAACCTTCACCCTCCAGGTTTAAGTGATTCTCCTGCCTCAGCCTCCCAAGTAGTTGGGATTACAGGCATGCGCCACCACGCCTGGCTAATTTTTGTATTCTTAGTAGAGACAGGGGTTTCACCATGTTGGCCAGGCTCATCCGCCTGCTTTGGCCTCCCAAAGTGCTGGGATTATAGGCATGAGCCACCATACCTGGCCCGATTTCTTGGTAAAGTAGCAAACAGAAACAGTAACGTGCCTAATATTTTTCTATCTCTTTCCTGGCTCACTGTTTTTTGGGGATAGTGATAGATTTTTTTTTTAATACAGGGTACATCTGCTAAAGGAATAATATGGAGATTTACTGACTACCGATGTATTTTCCCTCGTGCTGCTAATGAATTAGGAACACATCCAACAGGTAGCTACAATTGTACTAAAATCCACTGTGAGTGTAATTTACACAGGAATGATAATATAACAAAATTTTGGGAAATAAACATGTTTTAAGTTAAAGTAAATATTTCAAATATGCTTTTTATAAATATCAATTTTCACCATTTTTTAGGTTAACCAAACCAACTACAAGTCTCTACCCTTCAGAAAAGAGGATCTGTACCATTTGTAATAAACTCGCTTAAGCGTCTCTCTGTCCAGTTCGACCTCCTCCACGCCTTTCTCCAACCTGTGATCAAAGAGAGGTTTTTAAGGCAAACAAAACCAGGCATTGGAGCTTCTTAATATACAGGATTCCCCGGAGCAGTCAAGAGCCTTTGTGGCCTGCTCCCTGCCCACCTTGCCAACCAAGGCTAGAACTGATGTCACAGTGATGTGCCTCTGTGCTTTGACACACGCTCTTCTTGCTGCCCTGAAAGCCCTTGGCCCCCTTTCCACCTGTTCCTACTTGCCCTGTAAGGCACTGTAAGTATCATCTCCCCCAGAAGTCCTTTTCTAAGAGCCCATATCCAAGGCTAATTTTAATGCTCTTATTCGACCCCCCAGAGCACCCCATTCTTGCCTCTATCATAGCACTTGTCACTCTACTTAGAGTGTTTTTACTTGTCTGTCTTCTCTGACTTGACTTTAAGCTCGAGAACATAGACCTCATTAGAGGCATCTTTGTATTGCTAGTACTTAATGTGGTACCCAGCATATAGTAGCAAAAAAATTATTTGTTGAGTGAAAAAAACTATATGATACATGAATAAGTGATAAAAGAATGCTTTGCCCGATGTGGGACATACTGTGTGTATCAGACTGGCTCCCCACAGGAAACACACACACACTCAAAGGGGGTCACTGAAGAGAATTTAATGAACACAGTACTTACAAAGATCTGGGTAGAGATAAGAGAAATAACAAGAGATGGCAAAGCACCAGGACTAGCAAAATTAGGACACTGTTCCCACCTCTCCGCCTGACTGGCAAGGGAGAAATTATTGGAATTCAAGAGCCATAGCCCAGGAAGAGGGGCCACTCACAGGTGTTGTGGCCTTAGATGTAGAAATACAGCTACTGTCAAACCACAGCCTGGCAGGAGGAACCCAGGGGAATAAATACTCATGTCTCTGTCTTCCCACCTTCTGATCATCGGCAAGTGCCTCTTGTTGGCCCACCCAGCTAGAAGGCTGATCTGGGCAGAGAAGCACCGAAAGTGGAGCTGGAGGGACAAACAGAATATCCACACCCTGCAGAAAGCTGAGATTGGTATTCTTCTATGGCACAGTCACTCCTGCCACCAAGGGGAGCAGAGAGTAAAGGGCCAACACTCATTCACGTAGACTTGGTTTTTTGGTGTATTTTCTTAAGTTATTAAAAATTTAAAATTTTCTTATTATGCTTAAATATACGGAACATAAAAATTTAACATTGCTGCCATTTTAAAGTGTACATTTTAGTAGTATTAGCATATTCACATTGTATAAACATCACCACCATCACCTCCATAACGTTTCCATCTTCCCAAACTGAAAGTCTGCATCCATTAAACAATAACTTCCCTTTCTCCCCTCCGCTACCTCCTGGTCACCACCATTCTACTTTCTGTCTCTATTCATCTGATGACTCCAGGTACCTCCTGTCAGTGGAATTATCTAATATTGGTCTCTTTGTGCCTGGCTTATTTCACTTAGCATAATGTCTTCAAGTTTGATTTATGTTGTAGCATATGTCAAAATTTCCTTCCATTTCAGGGATGAATAATAGTCCATTGCATATATATTTGTGTGTGTATGTGTGCGTGCGTGTGTGTGCAAGTGCGTGTGTGTGTGTGCATGCATGTATGTGTGCACGTGAGTGTGCGTGGGTGTGTGTGTGCATGTGCCCGCCACATTTTGTTTATCCATTCAGCTACTGATGGACACTTGGGCTGCTCCCCGCTTTTGTTATTGTGCATAGTGCTACAATGAATATGGGTGTACAAATAACGGTTTAAGTCTCTGGTCATATAACCCAGAAATAGAATTTGCTGGATCATATAATAATTCTAGTTTTAGTTTTTGAGGAACGACTGTCTATCTTTCCACAGAGGCAGCATCATTTAACATTCCCACCAGCAATGCTTACGAGGTTTCCAGATTTCCCACATACTCACCAACACTTGCTATTTTCTGCTTTTTTAAATAATAGCCATCCTAATGAATGTGAAACAGCATCTTATTTTTGTTTTCTTTCATATTTTCCTAATGATTGGTGACGTTAAGCATCTTTTCAATGTGCTGTTGGCCATTTGCATGTCTTCTTTGGAAAAATGTCTGTTTGAGTCTTTTGCCCATTTTGTAACGGGTCATTTGGTTTTTGTTGAGTTGTAGGAGTTCTTATTATATTCTGCATATTAAGCCCTTATTATTTGATATAACAGTGTGTGTTTGAACCCCATGCCTTCTGGGAACACAGGTGCAGTGGTCTGATTTCTCTCAGATGACTTTGCCCCTCCCCAGGGCTCATTCTGTGTCTTGAGAGGAGGTGGGCTGGGCTTTCCAGTCTCCATCAGTGACAGGGCAGCTCTCACTAGATATGTGATCTGCAAATGTTTTCTACAATTCTGTGGGTGCCTTTCCACTCTATTCATAGTGTTCCTTGATGCACAAAAGTTTTTAGTATTGATGCAGTCCAAATTATATTCTTTTTCTTGTACTGCCTGTGTCTTTGTTGCCATATCTAAGAAATCATAGCCAAATCCAATGTACATTTTTTGAATAAAGAAAAACAAAAAGAAAAAAAAGTCAAGCAAATATCTATCTCTTTTGATGGAGATTTGGGCCATGGTGGTAGGACTTCTGCCAAGATTTAGTGTGGAGAAGATACAGAAAACCCCTTTCCTACCACAAATAATGCTGGATAACATAAAACCTTCCCCTTCTGCTCAAAAAGTTAAAATATTTGATCAATTAAAAGGCGGAAAGATAATTATTCAAGTTCCAGAAGCACAAAAGGAACTGAGAGCTGTCACAGTGCCCCGGAGCAGAGGCCACATGGCCCAGGCCACGGTGGAGAACTAGAACTGAGCTCTTAGTGAAAGGAGAGAGCTGCTCAAGGGCTGCCTGGCACTGATGGAGATCAAAAAGCTCAGCCCACCACCTCTCAAGACACAGAACAAGCCTGGGGAGGCGCAAAGTCGTCTGAGAGAAATAAGAGCACTGCACCTGTGTTCCCAGAAGGCATGGGGTTCAAACACACACTATTAAAGAAATAAACCGCAAACTGCCCCAGAGTTGTAAGCATCATAAAAAGCGCCTAGACAAATGCAAAGCCACCTCATGGAGATGCCTCCAGACATTTGGAGGATGCCCACAGGAGATAAATTCTCTTAAAATAGGCTCACGGACACAAGAGGGATGACAAGCACAGGCAACAGACTGGAGACTGAGTGACAAGCGGGAGAGCAATCTGGAAGGACATTAGCATGACTGTGTTTAAAATGCTCAAATAAATAAAGCAATAAATCAAATGCATAAAACAAGAACAAGAGTACATTAAAAAAAGAACCAAGTAGAGATTCTCTAACTGAAATATACAGCCATGCAAATGGACTCTGAAGCTGGGCATTCCACCACCAATTTGTGGCCCAGCTCCAGTGATAGTGGAGAGGATTTCTCCTGTCCCACTGCTCCTCAGGAAGACCTCAGTGACTCACTGCACCTACCCACCTTACAACGAATTTATTGTACCATCCAGGAACCTGGTGAGAGATGTGTTGGGAATTGAGGCAGAGACTGAGAGGCCCACACCTGTACAGCAACCGCAGTAATTCATGCTTTGTTTCGTGGCCCTCCCTAATCTCCTAGATCTTCCCCTCCCCGCCCCCCCCCGCCCCCACCCATCACCAGCAAGAAAGAAGACTGGGAGGGAGAGGCAAGTCTGCACTGGCTGCAAACTGGGTTTGGAGTGATTTGAGCTGCCTGTAAGGCCAGACAGTGAGGGCGGAAGCCGCAGCAGTCCTGGTTCCCGGCCCCACCTGTCTCCACTGAGAGGTTTCTGTTACCAGATTCATATTTTACCCTCACCAGTTAGTGTCAACATTATCATTAAACATGATCTGCAGAGTCACCGGGGGTTCCGGTAGGAATGCAAACAAAGACAGTGACTCAGGAACATTGCAGGTCCAGTCCAGACTCACTTCTGACAAGGGATTAAACTACCAAGAACTAGGGTCTTTGTGGACAGGAAGGTCCGAGGCCCCTCTCCACAACTCCCCTCATTTGCAGGTGGGTTCCTCCCCACACACCTCCTGTTTCCCTGGGCCCCATTTTCCCTCACTGCGTGTGTCTGTCAGATCCTGACAGCTTCTTTGGGGGCTGTGACCTACCTAAGGGACAGACAGTTATGGTAAGTAAATGTAAAAACCACAGGATCAAAAGTAAGAAATTGCACTGGCCAGGAATTGAACCAGGGTCTCCTGGGTGGGAGGCAAGAATTCTACCACTGAACCACCAATACTAGCAGACTAAGGGTTGTGGCCTTACCTTGAAAACAGGTAAGCTAGGGACATGGGAAAAGGAGTTAAGATTTTCCCCGTGTGGTCTTTGGAAGACGTAACTCACAAAAAAGACCCAGAGCAAAGGCTCACATTGCAGATTTGTATCAGGTAATACCACAACATTATGGCTTTGCAATAAAACAGCTGACTTCATAAAGCCTTATTCTGAAGTGGGCTCTGTACAACCGGATAACACTCCTCTGTAGGGAAACATCAGAAATGCATCCAGTTTCTTGTCTCTGGTCCCCTATCCAGTGGGCGCCTGTGGAAAGTCCTTGCCTCGTTTCTTGATATCTTGTCTTTGCCGTCCCGTGGCTTGGTGCCTCCCAAACCCTTCTCTCTCATCCCTGAGAGGAACATCAGCACTTTCCCCAAAAAGGCCTTCAGGACCCAGGGACCTCGGATTGGAAAGCTGGACTCTTGGGACTGTGCCTGGGCAACTCCAGGAGACCTGCTTGATAATTGAACTTCTCTCCTCATGGACCTCTCCAATTCCTTAAAAACACCGGGGATCAGATCTTGCTTTTACCTTCTTATGCCTTACAGAGACCAAAAGAAGAGCGAAGAAATGGGCATTTCACTCCAAGATTTCTTTCCTTTATCTCGTGCTCTCGGTCACACAAGGAGGCCAGTTCGGGGAAAAACAGCTGTATTCTGTTCCGAGGGATTCTAGGTAGACGCTGGGATATTATTCCTCTAACTAATCTAAAGCGTTCTTTTCTGTTTGCCTTTGTCTGATATCCATGTTTTCACTCTTTCTTTTCTCTTTTTTTTTTTTTTTTGAGACAGAGTCTCACTCTGTCACCAGGTGCCAGGCTGGAGTGAATGGTGCAATCTTGGCTCACTGCAACCTCCACCTCCCGGGTTCAAACAATTCTCCTGCCTCAGCCTCCCAAGTAGCTGGGAAGACAGGCTCACACCAGGACGCCCAGCTAATTATTGTATTTTTAGTAGAGACCGGGTTTCACCATGTTGGCCAGGATGATCTCAATCTCTTGACCTCATGATCCACCCATCTCAGCCTCCCAAAGTGCTGGGATTACAGGCTTGAGCCACCGTGCCGGGCCCACTCTCTTTCTTTTGTTTACAATAAGCCTAGTACAGATTTCCACCGCTCTTTTTGTTGGGTGCGTGTTTTCTTTGCGTTTTAAATGTTTTGTTTACGATTTTTACTTTAAGTTCAGGGGTACATGTGCAGGATGCGCAGGTGTGTAACAAGAGCAAACGTGTGCCCTGGCGATTTGCTGCACAGATGGTGCCACTGCCCAGGTACTAAGGCCAGCATCCATTAGCCGCTCTTCCTGATGCTCTCCCTCCTCCCAGGCAACACCCTTTTGCAGGCCCCTGTGTGTGTTGTCCCCACCCCTCAACTCCATGTATCCGTTTGTTCTCATCACTCAGCTCCCACTTACAAATGAGAACACGTGGTATTTGGTTTTCGTTTCTTCATTAGTTTGCTGAGGATAACGTGCACTGCTTTTAACATTTAACCCTTTTCTGTCCATTAAACTGTTAAAGCCAGCATTTCCTTTTCTATCCAACCTGACAGATTTAGATCTATTCTAATCAGCAGTAATTACTGTTATGTTAGAGATGACCGTCACAGATAGTCTCATTCCAACCACCTCATTGTATCAGTTCTGTGTTTTTGCTTTGTTTTTACAGTCTCTTTCTGCCTTTCTTAACTAGACAGGTCTGTCTGGGTAAATGTTCTGTTTTCCTGTTGTGTTTCTGAAATTTCTTGTTCCTGCCTAGTTAATATATTCTCTGAGATCTCAGGTGCACAGGAAGAAGCGAATCCGGTCCCTTAGCTCAGGGCACATTATGGTGACCGCTCTGAGCAAGGCCCTTACTGTCTTTCCTTCTTTTCTCTGTTTACCTCCCTCCCATTCCCTTGTCCTCTTCCAGGAACACGTTCTGAGGAGTTTCGTAAATGCTCTTTTATCCCACACTTTCTCTGCATATGTCATTAAGGGGATGTCTTTGAAAAACATACATTATTCTTGGAGAGGGCTTTCAAACAACTTTATAGTGTGTTTGTTCCCCAAATCCCATTCCACGCTCTTCACTACATTCTATGTACCATCTTCTCAACTTTTCTATTGTAGTAGTCAAGTTTATGTAAAAAGGGTTGGGGGGAAAAGTCAAGCCAATTTAAAATGGAGAAAACACTTGAGCAGTGTTTGTTCACAAAAGAGGATTTCTTAATGTCCAAATGGCATGAGGAAAGATCCTTGGCATCATTACTCATTCAAGAAACACAAATTTAAAATGCCAGGTTCACCATTACACGCCATCAAAGTGGCAACATTTAAGAGACAGAAAACCACTAGCTTATAAGAATGCAGAGGGCCGGGCACGGTGGCTCACGCCTATAATCCCAGCACTTTGGGAGGCTGAGGGCGGTGGATCACGAGGTCAAGAGATCGAGACCATCCTGGTCAACATGGTGAGACCCTGTCTCTACTAGAAATACAAGAAATTAGCTGGGCATGGTGGTGTATGCCTATAATCCCAGCTACTCAGGAGGCTGAGGCAGGAGAATTGCCTGAACCCAGGAGGCGGAGGTTGCAGTGAGCCGAGATCACGCCATTGCACTCCAGCCTGGGTAACAGGAGTGAAACTCCATCTCAAAAAAAAAAAAAAAAAAAATGCAGAGAAAATGTATCTCTTGTTACTAGCAAGAGAATACAATCATGCAACCATTCTAAAGACTGTTTGATCGTCTCTAATAAAGTTAAAAATACAACTGCTCTATGACCCAGTCATTCCATTAAGTTTATATTCAAGGGAAATGAAGGCACGGGTCCATTAAAGGGCCCACAGTAGAATATTTCTAACAGCTTATTCACAACAGTCCAAGGTAGAAATAGCCCAGCTGCCCATCAATGGTTGTGTATTCATCAGTCACACCAAAAAGCTGAGATACATGCCATAGAACAGATGCATCTCAAAACCATTGCTGCATTAAAAAAACAACAGACAAAATCAGTATATTCCTTTATGTGAATTTCAAGAAGAAGCAGAAGTAATGCATGGAGACAGAGATCGGCAGGGTGACTGCCTAAGTGGGATGGGGTGAGGATGGACTGGAAAGGGGCTCTGAGGACGTGCTGGGCTGGTGAAAACTCCCGTAACTTGATCGGGTGATGGATTCTTATGTCAAAATACATTGGGCTGTGCACTTAAGATCGGTGCACTTGGTCTGTGTGGATTAAACTTCACTCGTTTACTGATGCAACAGCAAATAAATAAAACAAAATTAAAAATTGGGTGTTGGGGAATATCATTGGGTTTAGATTTTATTGTATTCTTTAGTTTTACTTAAAATACCCAGTTGGAGTGCAAACTCTCATCTCCTCTTGTTCCTTTCCGATTTGGTCTGAAAAGGCCCCATGGATGTTTGAAATATCTGAGCCAGAATAACGGGTACAGCCGCATCATGTCTACAGTAAAAGATTCCAATAAGGCCGACTGAGAGGGAGCTCCTCACCTTTCGGGTGTTGCACTTGCAAAATCCAGCCTTTCAAGATGACCTCGGTGTGCACGGTAGGCGTTCCTTCTAGTCTATGCACCACGCAGAGTCTCGAAGCCACAGAAACGTTGTTAAGTCTCCAGTCGCAGGTAAAGGGCACAGTCTAGGCAGAGGTTAGAGGCGAAAGGGAACGAAGAACCGAGCCAAAGGCGCGGAAGCAGCTGGCCTCCTTCTTTCAGCTGAATGCAGGGCTGCCTCCGCTTTGGAGACCTAAAGGTCCGCGTAGATTTCATTTTTTCTTGGTGTCTCCGTTTTTCCTCCCTTCCCCACTGCTGCAATAAAAGAACACTTCTCATCTCTCCCTTGTACAGTCCTCGCCGCTGACAAAAGCTACTGGGAAGTTTCATCTCCCGGGTCCAGGCCTCTGCCGACTTCCATGCTCTCCCCCTGCAGTTCCCTGCGGGACCCACCCCTTGCCCCGCTCCCGGCCTCCCGACCCAGGCACGCACCCAAAAACAGCCCAGCTGAGCCCTCAGCTCCGCAGAGAGGCAATCGAGGCCACCGGAGGCCTCGCCCCTTGCCCGCCCCACGGGACGCCGAGAAATCAATCGGAATCAACGTTCTTTTTAAAAAAGAACTCCCTTCCCCTTCGCCACCAGCCTGGGCAACATGGCGAAATCCTATCTCTACAAAAAAGACAAAATTTAGCCTGGCGTGTGGCTCCCCCTGTTGTCCCAGCTCTTTGTGGGGCTCAGACAAGAAAATAGCTCAGCCGGGGAGATCAAGGCTGCAGTGGGCCGTGTTTACACCACTGCACTCCAGCCTGGGTGACCAAGTGAGACCCTGTCTCAAAAACAAGACAAAAAAACAAAACGAAACTTCCCCATGGAAATGAGTTTGATTTCTTTTTTCCCGGCTCTTCAAAGGACTAAAAGCCGAAGGCGATGACGGATTCCTTCAAGCCGTAGTCATGCGCCCTGCGGAGTGACAGCCCCTGCTCCCCATGGGACCCACGAGCGACCCTCACCCCATCCCTGCCTGGCAGAGCCCCGGTGCCGGACACAGGATCCGAGTCGGCCGCGAAAGCTCCGCAGCCGCCCGAAAGCGCCTGGGCAGGATGGGCACGGGCTCCCTCACTGGGTGAAGGCGGCGCAAAGAACGGGAAGAGCCATCCCGGGAGCCCGCCGGGCGTTCAGCTCCCCTTGGGCCCCCAAGCTGGGGGGTTTCTGAAGCAGGTGAGGGGCAGGGCGGGCGAAGGCCATTCGGCTGTCCTTCTAGCTCCAGGATCTCCCAACCCGCGGGTGTCCTACAGGACCAGCGCCACTCAGCGCTCTAATCTCTCGGGTTTTCCGAGGCCTTGCACAGTTGTTCTGCCGCCAGCACCTGAGAGTGGAAGGGCTGCGGGGAGTCTGGGGAGTGAGTCCGGCCTGTAGCGCCCAGTTGAATCAGCAGTAAGGGTTTCTGTGGCAGGTGGGTTAGTGCATT